TCCTCTTTCACGATCCACTTTTTCTGTCTCCCCCTCCCCTTGCAACCATCCTTCACTTTTTTTTTCCGATAGTTGCACGGACTTTGTGTTTTTTGTGTTTTCTGCTCACCCCCAATGTTTCCTCATGCAGATCATGCAGATCACTGATATTTTTTTGCAACTTTTGCAACTGGCACCTGTCCCAAAGCGGCGCAGCTTCACTCCTGAATCTCCTGTCCGAACGGATCGGGAATGGGTAAGTCGCAGGTCAGTACTTCCAAATGGCAAATCCCGCAGGTTTTTAGCACTCCGAGGGGCCCGGCGCTGCGCTGGCGTGGGCTTCGGGTCCCGATGGATTCGGCCGCTCACTGAAATTGAAAGAGAAAATTTCAAAATAGGCACTTCGCGAATCAAAAGCAGTCGCAAACCTTGCTGAAATCCCGCAATCGGGTGCATGAAAAAGCGCACAAACGTGCTGGAAAATGTGAGCGTGTTGGCAGGCTTGTGGTGGAGCCTCTGTCGCACTCGAGTCAGGAGGCCCTCGCGGCAAAAAAAAGAAGCCTGGTTTTTTCTTTCTGCCTTTTCCCCCCTTACACTCTTTAAACTAGTCTCCAGCGGGTCTCCACCTTGCAAAGACAGCGGAGCTCGAGGAACCCGTACGGAAAGCCAAAGAACGGTGGAGAGGGAAAGAGAGATATGAAACTGGAGACGCGGAGGGGTGAAACTCCTCATCAGACGTCCCACATGGCCTTGCACTTGAGAGGGAGAGAGAGAGAGACAAATAAAGAGAGAGAGAAGTGGGAGGGTGGAAAAACTGCAAGTACAGAGCAGGAGGAGAAAGACGGAGAGAGAGAGAGAGAGAGAACAAATAAAGAGAGAGAGAAGTGGGAGGGTGGAAAAACTGCAAAGAGAGAGCAGGAGGAGAAAGACGGAGAGAGAGAGAGAGAGAGAGACATAGATACTCCTCCCCCAGCGCGCAGACTCAGTGTGTTTTCTCACACACACACACACACACACACACACACACACATAATCCCACCAGAAAGAAAGAAAGAATGAGTGGAAACACAGCAGAAGAACGCTACTTTCTGCAGAAAAAGTATTTGAAACCTTTAATTCCACACAGTTTCTGAACATTAACAGAGGATTTATTTTTTAGTTCTTCTTTCCATCAAACATTCATTTGTTTGCTTTAAAGGTTTGCTTTTAAAGTTCACTTTAACATTTCATAACCCTGAATGCTGCAGGTTTTTTCTCTCGAACGCAAAATAGACATTTCTGAAAAATCAAAAAATGACTAATAACACCACAGATAACCATAAGAGTAAACAGCGTGTCCAAGAATTGATGCCAAAATTGCGCTGGTTCACATGTTCATATGTTCGGACACAACACGCTAATTTTGTATTCTGGACATGAATGTGAAAAAAGGCAAGGATTTTTCTTGACTAATAACTTAAACTTCGGTGTCTTCCTCGAAGCGGCCTTCTAACGGCTTGGAATATAGTGCATGAAATGATGTACGGAAAAGAGCTGCCGAAAACAACATGGTGAGTAATTAATGACAGGATTGATTTTTGTGCAAATTCCTTTAACCAGCAAGTTTTTTACAGACATAAAACAGACATTTCACACTCTTACTAGTTCATTTAATTTGTCTACTAACCATGTCCAATAATGGACATACATTGTAATTTCCGCCACATCTTAAATGACAATTCAATCCGTGGTAGAAATCGCATTTTAAACATTTGTGGAATAAAATGTGCATCTTCATCTCATTTAAGCTAATTTCATCACAAGCATTTTATGCATCTGAACACTAATAAAATTATATTTTCACACTTTGCATAATTGAAAAAAAAAAAAAAAGATTGGAAATGATGCACAACAAGAATGTTCTGCTAACAAAAGATACAGTGTGTATAGAAAAGAATCAGCCCCCTCTAAAATAATCACATTTTGTTGCTTTGCAGCCTGAAATAAAGACGGACACAGTTTTTGTTTTATCCAGCTGTATTTAAAACATCCAAGCGAAAGATAAAACACCAACATGTCAGGAAAAAAAAAAACCCACAATCACTGAGTTGGAAAAAGGATGACCCGCCTCCTAAAAACGACGTATAAACTCAATCAGGTGCAGCTACACAAAGCTATTTTACTCTCAACTGTGATCAGCTGTGGTCATTTTGATCAGCTCAGCATGAAAAGAGCTTTCCTGGAGCATTTCAGTCCTTGGTATAGTGCAACTAAAGCTAACAATCAACTATGGGTGGCAAGACACTGTCAAAAGATCTCCGGGAGAA